TTGTTTGATTATCATGCCTTATAATGAACATTTACCCATAAGAAGATTTATTTTAAACGGTTATATGAAATATTACACCCCTAGGTAGATTGGATTACTTATTAGGATAACCATCCTGTTGTGCAAGAAAATCACATATCAAATGTGCGTCCTTCAATTTTTAAGACCATAAACTCTAATTTTAAGTTTAAACACTCAAATTTACATAATTCATATAAAAAAAACCGTATAGAGAGCTTAAAACTCAATTTGCGGTTTAACCTTCATTTCTATCTATTTCGCAGTTAGAGTTTTTTTTTGAATGCAAAGCAAAATTATAATTATTTTTGTTCCAATAAAGTAGGAATTCAAGTGTTTACAGATTCAAATAAATAACAGGTTGTCCTCTGTAAGAAATCGTTTTCCAACCAGCCACCAAACTCCTTTTAATTGCTGAAGTTCAATTATATTATGCAATTATGCATTTTTTTCTTTGACAAAACCGGGTTCTGCCTTGTGAAATCTAGGACAAAACCGGGTTGTACACATTGACAAAACCGGGTGCTTCCATTTTGATATGACCCATTTCTTTCGTTCCATACGCAGAAAAACAAATATTGAGGTGCTCAAAGTGACTAGTTTTGCAATTTCTATGTCAATATCTTTCTTTCCGTACCTTTCTTTCCGTACCATGTGAACAATTTAAGGAGAAATTAAACAAATTCGAGGCAAGGTTCACTCAATTCGTCATTTTGACGTGCATTTTTACTTATTTCTCTGTTAATCTAGAACGGTTGTAGAAAATATTACATCTCACAATAGAAAACAGTTATATATGTATAAATATTCTTCGATATCATAACAATAACAAATAAATAAACAGAAAACTACCTTTTCTCTGTCTATTGATGTTCCGTCACCGTGCCGGATATTAGATACCATCGAGTCCAAACATTTTTTGCCGGGGTAGTTTAGACACAGTGTTCAAAGGATATGTCCACTTTACATTTTCTAATTTTAAAGGGACATTAGCTACGATATTTAAACAAAATAAAATATGATTTTTTTTTGTTCAATCTTTACTGCAAATGAAATTATAGTGAAATAATAATTCGCTTTTAGCAGCCAGTTTGGTTCAATTTTGTCAAATTAAGCAAAGATGATGAATTATTTGACCTCATTGAATCCGTATTCATGTGACCTACAATTTAACCGATTAGCTAGAGTTGGGTTACGCATGAATTAGGCGTGTTCAGTTATTAAAAGGTAGAGAATATAAATATTGAAAGTGAAACAAGGGTACACCATTTAAGGTGGTACCTAACACTACAGGGAGATAACTCTGTAAAAATCAGCTAAACGTTTTAATTACGTTGTATTGTTAAGGAAATATTAAGCTTCTCAATGATCAAAATTAGTGTTTGTCAAACTGCTATATAACCAATGAAATTTTTCTGATAAAGTGGTTGGTTCAAATTTTTTGAAATTTTTATATTTTTGTCAAAGGGTCAAAGTAAACTTTTTGTCAAAATTTTATGAAAATTAAACGAGCCAAATTAATATTAGTCAAGGTGTTGGGTACCACCTTAATTGACTGATTAGAGCCACAAAAACTCATTCTTATACAGGTAAACACGATGATAAACATATATTTGTAACCTATAATAAGAAATCAAAGATACCTAGAAAAATCAAATTACATGAGTTCGTTATCTATGTATGTCTATAGTTATGTTTACAACGGGTTATATGACCGTCGGCAGTCTTCGGAGGTTACCTCGATGGTTAATTAGATGGCGTCTAGACTAAAATACACACGAAATGCTGATACATATTATCGAGCCCATGCATTGTAAATTGTTTATTTTAGACTTTTTATAACTTTGATATACGTTTTAGTATGTTATAAATCAAATTTGAGAATTTGAGTCAAATCGTTGAACATGAATTTGACAGCTAATGCCCTTTTAAAGACAAAACAAAAGAATATGTAATTGTATTACCTGTTCTCAGAGACACTCAAAATGTTAGAGCGTTGAAATACAATATTGCTATGAGGAAGTAAATGTATACATGAACGCATGCTGATTAATCAATTTAAAAAAAAAGAAGTGACAGATGTATAAAAATAAACAACTGCGCCATGAGCGCATGATACGTCCGTCGCTTTATAAAAGAATAAAGTTAAATGACTTCTCAATGTCATATCAGAAACTGGAAAATCACCCCTTTTTATGAATAAAATCCCATAAGTCGGAAACGTAAAATATAAAATTTATAATAATCGAAAGGGGACTTACGTCAATAGATATAAACAATTCACCAAAGTTTCATGAAAACTGCTGAAAGCATTTTTGAGTTATTGTCCGAAAACTGGAAAATCACCCTTTTTTTAATAAATAAAACCCCATAACTCGGAAATGTAAAATCTTAAATTAAAAAAATCGAAAGGGACCTCATGTCAATAGATATAAACAATTCATCAAAGTTTCTTCAAATTGGTGAAAGTGTTTTCTAGTTTTTGTCCGTAAACTGGAAAATCCCCCTTTTTTAATGAATAAAACCCCATAACTCGGAAACTTAAAATCTAAAATTTATAAAAAACGAAAGGGAGCTCACGTCAATAGATATAAACAATTCACCAAAGTTTCATGCTTATTGGTTAAAGCGTTTATGAGTTATTGTCCAACATGTTGACGATGGACGGATGGACGGACGGACAGACAGACAGACAGACGGACGGACGGACAACGGTATACCATAATACGTCCCGTAAACGGGCGTATAAAAATGAACATTGAAAAGATTTACATCATGTGTTGCAAAAATCAAATGAGCATGTCTTTCTTCAAGTTTAAAATCATTATACATGTACATGTTCATAATGTCCGTAATCACAGAGGTTGTTTAACAATTTGAATTTTCCACCTGCTATACAATGTAGGGTCCCAAAAGGATTAATTCCTACAATTCACATCGGTCAGTTTTATTGATGAGGACAATTGCATGTAACGCTTTGTGTATTATCAGTATGAATAAAATGAGAGTTGGATTCAGGTCAATAAGACAGCAACCCATGTTCAATCATATTTGAAAACAATAAAACAATTATCCACTTTACTTCCAATAGATTTGTTGTTGTAATGAAAGTCACATTTATTCATTTTTTTCCATATATTAATGAAAGAACCTTAGTGAGCGCGCTCACATACCCCACGTCCCCACATTGTCATTGGAGAAATAAAATAAGTGCAAGAAAACAAATTGTATCAGAAAAAAAATTGAATCATAATTTCCTGTCAATATGCACATCTACATAGTATGTCCTTATTATCTACACAGTTTCATGAAATTCTGTTGTGTGGTTTGAGAGGAGTTGCGATGACAAAAGGTTGCAGTAGTATATTGGGCAAATAAGTTCAAAGGGGCGTAACTCCTAGAAAAAAAATTGAATCGTAATTTCCTGTCGATATGCACATCTACGTAGTATGTCCTTATTATCTAAAAAGGTTTCGTGAAATTCTGTTGTGTGGTTTGAGAGGAATTGCGATGACAAGAAACAGGACTGACGGACTGACGGACAGACAAACAGACGGACAGACGGACGGACGGGTCAAAAACATTATACCTTCCGCAACTCGTTGCGTGGGGTATACATACTCAACCAAGAGCAATGATAAACTTTTAAGATTGTAGTTTTGAAACATTTTTAAGCATGTTTTATAAATTAGTTTTTCATCAGTTTTTAAATGGTGATACAGATTAAATGACTGTTTGAAAATAGCTCTAGTATATAAAAACATTCCAGAGTGACATTTAGACATCTGTGGTCAATCAAACATTATTACGTATTTTGTGGCTATACATTTCTTATTAGTAAAACGTTGTAACATAATGTCAATTTGTAATTTTCAGACATATATATCTCTGAATGGTTCTCTAACGTGTTGATTCTCATTATTAACTTAAGTGGCCGATAGAATTGATCGTTAGCTTGATTGGTCGCTAACTTGAGTCTGGTTGCTTCATTACATGTTTAAATGCCATTTCCAGAAAAAAAAAGCAAAGCACAGATTATATTGAAATAAAACGAGTACCTTTGAAATGAAAATAGGCCATTGGAGATTACTCAGCGCCAATGAAATATAACTTTGTACTTTAAAAAAGGAATGCAATCGCCATCGAATACTCGTTATGCCATATTACAAAAAGACCCATAACTGTTATTTCAACACATCTGTCAAAATAGATTGACAGACACATCTGTCAAAATAGATTGACAGATTTTTTTCTGTCAGTTTATACTTAAGGTGGCTGGGGCGTCTTAATTAAAATTGACAGAAGTTTTTAATAATTTGTCAAAATGAAGTTTTTATCATGCTTTTTTCAAAAATATAATAAAATGTATGGGTCACCGGACTTTTTTTCTCGCGACAGGTTGTGCAAAATTGTCAGATTTTGTATAGATTATGCATGGAAAATCAAATTTTGTGTGATAAAAAGAAAACTACCTGATAGAATTTTAAGATATAATGTGAGATGATAGCTCTTATAACATGCTTTCAGATAAGAAAAAGAAAAAATGGGGTCACCGAACTTGTTTTCTTGCTACAGATTAAAATAGGTAAATTCACAACACTTTCTATTATAAAAATTACTTTATCTGAGTTATCTCCCCTTATTTGGCAAAGTTGAAAAAAAATTAATCAAACACAAATAAGGTGTTTTTGAGAAATTACAGCCGTAATTATGATAAAACACACATTTTTTTATATTTACATCAAAAGTCTTACACATAAATTATATCTACTCTCAAAATTTGCACATTTCATCAAAGATCTAGACCAACGTTATCTGCTTCTTCAAAATCCAAGATGGAGGAAGACACCCGAGCCACCTTAATACATATGCAATAAGTTCATGTTAATCTATGTACCCCCATAAGGCTAGAAATGTTGTTTCTAATTTCATATAAAATACACATAAGGTTATCTTAAGTTGGTTTAGCAATTAAAGATAGAAACAGAGATATTTGTTTATTTAACTGAAAAGTATAAAGCATTTTTTAAACTATGCTAGCATACATGACATATGAAGATTTTTCATGAGTTCTTGTATTTTATAAACATAAAGTTTTCTTTTAAGATGAGGAAATGTACTGGCTTCTTGCAACAGTTTGGACGACACGTGTCGTCACGGTGATAACTGTGTTTAATAATTACGTCAATAACGTATTCTATGGCTTATTGTTGGCATGGTTCAACCCACATTGTCCTGGAACTGGTTTAACCCACATTGTCCTGGAACTGTCCAGTAGTATTATACTTTCATTGGTAGATTAAAACTTATTGTCTAACAAAGCCTGCAAAGATCGCGGCTTGTCACATATAAGAAGCATATAGGGAAAACTTTAAAAGGTTCAGCAATTGAAAATAGAAATTTTTAAATTATGCTAACATATGCAGATTTTTCATGAGTTCTAGTCGTTTATAAACATAAAGGTTTCTTTTGAGATGAGGAAATGTGCTAGCTTCTTGCAACAGTTTGGACGAAGTGTCATCACGTTGAAAACCGTGTTTATTCATTACTTCAATAACGTATTCTATTGGCTTATTGTTGACATGGTTCAACCCTCCTTGTCCTGGGACTGCCCAGCTTAATATTATGCCTTCATTGGCATGTCTGAATATATTGTCTAAAAATATCTGCTCATATTCCTTTGGTATATGCTCGGCTACTTCAATGGAAACGACCCAATCATAAACAGGTAGTCCAAAATGTGGAATTGTAAGGTCCATATATTTAACATTTCCTTTGCTTTCCTCTTCAGTAAATGGTCCTCCATCGTATGAATCGTACGACTTTATCTTTCCTAATCCCAAAAGTTTTGTTTTATATTCTCCAGTTCCATCACCAAAACTGGCTACACTTTTGCCCTGTAATAAGTCCGACAATGCCGGAAGTAATGTCTTGTCTGCTCCCAGATGTTGACCTCCTCTGCTACAATATCCCCCGGCCGCTGCGGTACCTCTCTTTCTCTACAAAAAAAAAAACAACACAAAGACAATTAGAAACAATATGTTCACATATACGTTCCGCTCAACCTCATGGAAGTAAAAATGGTCACGATAAATAAATGAAAAGAAGTTAACCGGATAAATAAACTACATATCTAATGAGTTTGTATCACTTATCGTGTATACACGAACTATTGTCAGCAATGGCCGCTCTCCAAATCCGAGCCTATATCGACCGCGTTAATCTTTTTATTTTAAGTTTTCCCTTTTTAATTTTAGGAAACTTTTTGTAATTTTCAAAAGAATTTGTTTCCATGTAAAATTTGAAACTCGACCAATCAGAATCATCATTTCTCTTTGTGGCAAAGATTTTTGTCTAAGAAAAGAAAAGAAGCGAAATTTTTGAAAAAAACTTTACATATGAGCTGCGTCGGATAGAAATCGACCTTATGCAAATGAATATCAATACATCTGTTGTACCTTCTTTCAAGTAGTAATAAAAAACTCCGCTTGGGCGCAGCTTGATACGACCGCAGAGGTCGAACCCTGAACAGTTGGGGCAAGTATGGACACAACATTCAAGCTTGATACAGCACTCAATTTGGATTGTAATTAAATATTTGACACAGCATAGGTTTCTGACACAGAATGAATGTGGTCTAAGAACTTAAAAAATTTTAATTTACCTTTTCAAACCATATCATTATTATTTGCTTTTATATATAAATCAGAAATAACCAATTTAAAATGGAAAATTTTAAAGAAAAAAAAGGAAAAAAAATCCCCCCCCAAATTTTTGGAACCCCCTTATGATTCATCACCCCCAAACTCAATCCCAGCCTTCCCTTTGTGGTATGGTACCTTGCAGTACAATTTCAGAGAGATCCATACACTTGAACACAAGTTATTGTCTGGAAACTAGAAAAATGCTTGTTTTTTGGCCCCTTTTTGGCCCCAAATCCCTACACGTTTAGGGCAATTACCCCCAAACTCAAACCAGCTTTCCCTTTGTGATATGGAACCTTGTAGTACAATTTCATAAAGATCCATACACTTACACACAAGTTATTGTCCTGAAACTAGAAAAATGCTTGTTTTTTTGCCCCTTTATGGCCCCTAATTCCTAAAATTTTGAGGCAATTACCACCAAAATCAATCCCAGCCTTCCTTTTGTGGTATGGTACCTTGCAGTACAATTTCAGAGATATCAATACACTTGAACACGTTATTGTCTGGAAACTAGAAAAATGCTTATTTTTGGCCCCTTATTCCTAAACGCTTTGGGCAATTACCCCCACCTCAATTCCAGCTTTCCCTTTGTGATATGGAACCTTGTAGTACAATTTCATAAAGATCCATGCACTTACTCACAAGTTATTGTCATGAAACTAGAAAAATTTGTAAGGGTTCCGCGGAACCCAGTGTCTCGCCTACTTTTGCTGTTAATCGCAGGCTCAACAAAAATGAGAAAAAAAATTAATAAAAATATTCCTCTCTATACAATCATTTGAATGTAAGTAGCTTCTGTCCAAGTTTGGTAAAAATCCAGGATAATTTATGAATCTAATAAATGTTTTAAAACCTTAAACTGAAGACTGTATGTAATGTTGACTGGAAGAAAAACTAAGTCCATTTATAAGTAAAATACGGAAAAAATGGAACAAAATTTTATCAAAATTTACTTCTAGATACTAGCTCTTGATCATAAGCAAGCTTCTGTCAAAGTGTGGTACAAATCCAGGATAGTTTAAGAAAGTTGTTAAAATTTGAAAAACTTTAACCACAGAGTGAATGTAATGTTAACTGGCAGAAAAACTAAGTCCATTTAAAAGTAAAATACGGAAAAAATGGAATATTTTTTTTACAAAATTTACTTCTGGATACTATCTTATGATCATAAACAAGCTTCTTTCCTAGTTTGGTAGAAATCCAGGATAATTTAAGAAAGTTATTAAAATTTGAAAAACTTTAACCACAGAGTGAATGTAATGTTTCCTGGCAGAAAAACTAAGTCCATTTATAAGTAAAATACGGAAAAAATGGAATTTTTTTTTTTTTAAATTTACTTTTGAATATAATCTTATGATCATAAACAAGCTTCTGTCCAAGTTTGGTAGCAATTCAGGATAGTTTAAGAAAGTTATTAAAAATTTGAAAAACTTTAACCACAGAGTGAATATTTGTGGACGCCGCCGACGACAACGACGACGACGACGACGACGACGCCGACGGAATGTAGGATCGCTATGTCTCGCTTTTTCGACAAAAGTCGAAGGCTCGACAAAAATGCTTGTTTTTGGCCCCTTTTTGGCCCCTTATTCATAAACGCTTTGGGCAATTACCCCCAAACTCAATTCCAGCTTTTCCTTTGTGATATGGAACCTTGTAGTACAATTTCATAAAGATCCATGCAATTACTCACAAGTTATTGTCATGAAACTAGAAAAATGCTTGTTTTTTGCCCCTTTTTTGCCCCTAATTGCTAAAATTTGGAGGCAATTACCCCAAAATCAATCCCAGCATTCCCTTTGTGATATGGAACCTTGTGGTACAATGTCAGAGAGATCCATACACTTAAACACAAAGTTATTGTCATGAAACTAGAAAAATGCTTCTTTTTGGCCCCTAATTCCTAACACACAAGTTAAGTCTGGAAGTTACAAAAATGCTTATTTGTGGCCCCTTTTTGGCCCCTAATTCCTTAACTGTTGGTACCATAACCCCCAAAATCAATCCCCACCTTCCTTTTGTGGTATTGAACCTTATGGTAAAATTTCATAGAGATCCATTCACTTAAACTAAAGTTAGAGTGCAAAAACCAATGTGTCTTCGGACGACGACGACGACGAAGCCAAAGTCATACCAATATACGACCACAAATTTGTTTTGCGGTCGTATAAAAATCACTCTATATGCAAAGTGTGTAACTGTTTGAAAATTGATATAACAACCCTACAAATCAGACCAAAATTTGTCTTTTAATCTGTATTGCAATGTTCCAAAATCCATCAAAGTCTTATACATGTACATGTATACGTGCACTTGCATAAGGTCGATTTCTATTCGACGCAGCTCATATAATGATTTTACTATTTTTTGGTTCGATTTGGCGTCATAAAAAAGAAGAAACACATATGGGTATATCAGATATCATATATATAATATATATTTACATGTTATGGCAGGTGTTGGACATCAATATATCAAATATTGTTATTAAATCGATATTATATTTTTTTCTTCTTCATCAGCCAAAGCAATATCAGTAAAATAAAAGTAAATACTTATCAATTATGGACTTTTGATGAGGTCATTATAGGATTAAACACATTTTTTCTAGAGGTTATTGATGTGTAAACTGGGGCGATTTACTCACAAACTTTCGGACTTTTATGTTAAGTTTGTGAGTCAGCGACCCAGTTTACACACCAATAACCTCTAGAAAAAATGTGTTTACTCCTTATAATTCTTAACCCAAACATTTGCAATTTTTAATTCACAATTTTTAATACATTGGCTACTATTTACCATCAAATGCACAAATGACATTTCGTAACTAAGGAGTGAGCCGCCATTTTGACTTTCTGAAATCCGTTAACATATTAATGTTCGATTAATGCAATAGAATCTAAAACGACTAACAATGCCTCCAAAACTTCATTTTAAATGAGATATTATTTAAATTTGTAACGTACAAGAAACAGAATAATCTTCCTCTTGAGAGTTTTCATTCGTATGACGTCAAGTTTTCCCATGACGTTAATGCACCAAGCTCATTCACGAATTTCGCGGAATTTTACTTTATTGTAAATTTATACAGTTTCCAAGCTTAATGCATTATTTGTTTTTATTATTCATCGGAATATAAATAACAGTTATGAATTTGTTTTTTCAATCTCAATTTGCTTGACTGACCCCTTGATCCCATGCAACTGCATCGCGCATGAATAGATCACAATGAAGGTTACGAAAATAGTTTCGGCAATATGATCTATCGAAGTATAAACCAAGGGAAAAATGCTAACAGACCAATCCAATTCAATTATTTATAGATATGCAAATCATATAAGAATTATTACGTTATATATGGACCTGTCCAGATCATATTGACCGAGGACGCCTTAGATCCTCGAGGGTATGGATGGGGTTACAGAATAGAGAATAATTGGCCAAAAATAAATAGAGAACAATATAGGCCATAAATATAAAGAAAGAGAATAATGGGGTAATAAAATATAAAGAATTGAGAAAAATTGTGAAAAATATAGAGAAAAAGAGAAAATTGAGAAAAAATAGAAATAACGGACCTCGTCCATCCCCCCCCCCCCCCCCTCTTCATGCAGACCTTATTAGTTTTTAATATAAAAACATTTTAAATGTGACATATTTTTCATATTTATTTACCTCACACTGAAGTATCCCAATCCTTTTACTCAATTTATTTAGCATTGCCGATACTGCATTTCTCTGTTGTCTAATAACATCTGTGATATTAGAATTGCTTTGCACTGATCCGATAACTGGTAACACATTTAAGGCACTATCCTGCTCGAATCTTTTGACGTTCACGTTCGTGTCACCTTGACTAACTACTTGTTCGTTGTTGTCACTTTGAACAGCTGTGTCCTTGCCTCTTCCGACCACCAGGTAGAATACATTAAACCCGACGAATACACACGCTGCCAGTATGAGTACTTCTCGTACGTTTAGTTTCGGCATGTTGTTCCACGTTGAGTCTCTGATCTGAAATAAGAAAGAAATAGACAAATGATATATATACAGCTATGTATGTATGAATAAAAGAGTTGCCGTGTTTATGTATATGAGACAGTCACCCAACAACACAAATAACAAATAGACATGCAGCCGTCAACATTGCACGTGTTCACAATACATTATATGAACATATACAACATAGAACATACAAACATGTATAGTCGACCTGAACTTAACAGAAACTTGGTTTGTCACCAAACAGTCATATTCATCTGTTAGAGGATATAGAACAGAAACTTGGTTTGTCACTAAACAGTCATATTCATTTGTTATATGATATAGAACAGAAACTTGGTTTGTCACTAAACAGTCATATTCATCTGTTATAGGATATAGAACAGAAACTTGGTTTGTCACCAAACAGTCATATTCATCTGTTATATGATATAGAACAGAAACTTGGTTTGTCACTAAACAGTCATATTCATCTGTTATAGGATATAGAACAGAAACTTGGTTTGTCACCAAACAGTCATATTCATCTGTTATAGGATATAGAACAGAAACTTGGTTTGTCACTAAACAGTCATATTCATCTGTTATAGGATATAGAACAGAAACTTGGTTTGTCACCAAACAGTCACATTCATCTGTTATAGGATATAGAACAGAAACTTGGTTTGTCACTAAACAGTCATATTCATCTGTTATAGGATATAGAACAGAAACTTGGTTTGTCACTAAACAGTCATATTCATCTGTTATAGGATATAGAACAGAAACTTGGTTTGTCACTAAACAGTCATATTCATCTGTTATAGGATATAGAACAGAAACTTGGTTTGTCACCAAACAGTAATATTCATCTGTTATAGGATATAGAACAGAAACTGGGTTTGTCACCAAACAGTCATATTCATCTGTTATAGGATATAGACAATGTTTTTTTTTATATTGTAGATTTCTCTAATACGATGCGTTCCATTACAGTAAGTTTTTTTTTCATTTTTTCACTCTCTCTTTTCCTTAATTCTTACTCCTAATCAATCTTCTTAATCCTTATTAGTAAAAAATACAGCGTAAAAAGTATTTCCGAAGCAAAGCACACAGGCACTTTTGTCTCTGTATTTTTTTTGTACATATATACCTTAATTTCATTTTAAGGTATATATGATAATTTTCAGAGACAAGTGCCTGTGGCTAAGCAGTCAATATTAAAGACATTGTTTGTATCTATAAGATTGTATGTCCTTTAATAATTGCATTTGTACCAGTAGTGTCAACGATATCTGCATTAGTATGGAAAGCCAACGGGGTCAAAATTCTGAATTCGTAAATTACAAAAGTTACAAAACATCAATATACGAATTTCAGCGTGTCTGTGGCAAATATTTAAGTGACGTGGTTATAAATGAAGAATGGAAAAATAAGAAATAGTATACGAATGTTAGATTTAATGAATTACAAAGTAGCAAATAAAGAATCTCAATGTTCCAAATGTTGAATTTCAAGTTGCAAATTGACAATTTACGAATTAGGTATTTTGAAATTACATAGTTACAAGTGGCAAATTGACAATTTACGAATTAAGAATTTTAAAATTACACAGTTACAAGTTAAAAATTGACAATATACGAATTAACAATTTCGAAATTACAGTTACAAGTTACAAATTGACAATTTACAAATTATAAATTTTGACCCCGTTGGCTTTCCATACATTTGCAATATGTTAAACTTTTCTAAACGTTTTGTATAAACTCTTATTCTCGCATGTTTTATAAAATTATTAGTGAAGTTTATGTATCTTGTCTCAAATTTACGTGTCTTAACACATCACTAGTGGATCATAAGCTGGCAATTATTGCTCATAAAAAATTTCCAACAATGGATTATAAATTTCATTAATAATTCAAAACATGCAAATAGTGGTAACATTTCTCTGAATTCAGTTAATCCGACACCCAATCAAACCCTTAGGATATACATGTGCAGTGGCGGATCCAGAGGGGGCGTAAAGGGCGTACGCCCCCCTCCCCCTTTGGCTTGAACTTTTTTTTTTGTAAAATAACTAATCAGACTAGACTTCGCGATCTTTGCCATTTCCCGTGTATTTAATTTTTATGCGACATTTCTTTACGTATGAAGATATTTTTCGCTCGTATTTACTGTAATATATTATTGATTATGTCAAAGTCATGTGATTCGCTACAGTGGAGTTGACCAGTACGTCGAAAAAAAAAACGTCACTCAGTCATTTTGAAATTCAAATTACAGTAACACATTGCTTAGGCTGAGGATGACAAGCATGACGCCTTCAAAGCGACAAAGTATTGAGCAAGAACGTATTGATTTCTATTTCACAATTCCACCCAACAGAAAGTAATACTCTTAGACTATTACACTCTCATGAAAAAAAAAGTTCGAAAGCAATATTATTTACCTACGAAAACATGTTTAACCCCACACGCCCCAGCCCATTAATAACATTGCTGAATAGTGATCCCCAGTCAGTGAGCTCTAGATATAGATTTAAAGTCTAAGGTACGGACCATTTGATTTGAGGGGGCAGTCTGAGATATTTTAGAGAAAATATTCTGACCCTGATTTTTGCCTTAAACAAAAATGCTGGCCGTATATGGATTGAAAACAATAATCTTGTCCACTTTTTTGCTATTAGAAAAAAATATTTTCAACAAAATTGTTTAGCATTAAATGAACATGATGAATAAATAAACTGTTAACACAGAGATATGTCTTGCCTGTTTGTTATTTTGATAATGCAAATGTTGAAATTAAAATAGCAATACTTTAACATGCAATGTATGCAAATATTCAAAGTCAATGTACCATGACTGAAGGTACAAGGCTAAACAATCTCCATGGAAATGAGATGTGCCAATGCTAATACAACTGCATACCAAATACCATAGACTTATCATGAGTCTTTCCCTTTCAACAAACCTAAACACAAACATTGACTTGTAAACTATGTAAAAGTTTTAAAGTCAATGAACCATGATGAGGGGGTGGGGCTATATAATCCATGGAAACGAGACTTGCAAATGCCAAGACATTTGCATACCAAATATCATTGACTTAACAATAGCGGTTCATCTTAACTGACTGATCTAATCACAAACTAAAACATGTAAACTAAGCAAAAGTTTCAAAGTCAACAGACCATGACTGAGGGGGCGGGACCAAATACCCGGTAATTTCCATGGAAATGAGATGTGCTAAAGCTTATACAACTGCATACCAACTATCATTGACCTACCACTAACGGTTCCCCTTGAACTGACCTAATCACAAACTAATACATGAAAACGAAGCAAAAGTTTGAAAGTCAATAGACCATGAATAAGGGGGCTTGTTCAAATAATCTTCATGGAAATGAGATGTGCCAATGCTTATACAACTGCATACCAAATATCATTGACCTACCACTAGTGGTTCCCCATAAACTGACCTAACCACAAACTAATACATGTAAACGAAGCAAAGTTTCAAAGTTAATAGACCTTGACTGAGGGGGCGGGGCCAAATAATCTCCATGGTAATGAGACGTACCAATGCTAATACAACGGCATACCAAATATCATTGACCTACCACTAGTGGTTCACCATGAACTAGACCTAATCACAAACTAATACATTGTTGACGCCGCCGCCGCCGCCGACGCCGGAAACAGCATACCTATGTCTCGCTTTTTTACTCCGTCAAGGCGAGACAAAAACGGGCGTAATTTTTTTTTGGGGGGGTTGCATGTGAATCCCATATCTGACCGGAATGTCTGTTTCGCCTAACTGATGTACTGAATACTTTTTCAAGGCCCGACTGCAACCTGTTTGCTGGGTGTGGCCTATATGTCTCCATGTGTCGACCGTCATTCACAACTTCATTGTCATTTCCGACTCATTCGTAGCCTTTGGTTGATTTGTAACCCTGCACTTCCCTTGTTGGTTGAAACATTTCATCCAAACATTTGGATAAAAATTGCTTGTTTGTCTTTCTTCGTGTCGGTCGTATTGTAAATTTCATTGAATAGCCGTATATCTTGTTTACAACAAGAAATCTGTGAGATTATGCTAACTAACCATACAACAAACGAGAATTTTCCATGTCCATTTTTTACTGACAAATCCCACATCAAGTATATTAATTAGTACATAGCTTTGGATCCATCCAATCATTTTATAATAGACAATTAATGGAGAAAATACGGCACCAAAAATGTCCAACCCCTACGCTTTAACTATAAAATGCATTTTACACTTATTTTATGTTTTTTAGCTAAAAAAAGGTCCAAAGATTTTTCGCCTCGCTCAGCTCGGCGAACTTTAATACTACGCCCCCTTTCCAAAATCCTGGATCCGCCCCGGCATGTGTGTTAAGTAAAATAAGGCCAAAGTAACGTAATAATAAGCATGTCAACACATATTTTATTCTGCCAATATAACGAAATAAGAGAACTGCTATATTATAGACCACGATACATGATGGGAAATTGGTACGTAAAACAATATTCTTTTTATTATTAATTCTGTCAATTTTAAAGAAACGGCATTACTGGTTTGAAAAAGATTCAAAATAAAGACATCGGGATATTGAATCCAAACTACATAATATTATATAAATAAACTTGATATTTATTCCTGTGGGGACCTTGTAAACAAAATCACTAAATATCCAAGGCGACTCAGGGTATCGATCTGTAAAGTACAAACTATGGTACATACAAATGCTTTTTGTTATTGTCTTATTAATGTCTTATATTGTATTATGCTCCTTGTGAGCACATTTAATGGAAATAAAACATCTTCTTCTTCTGTAGATTAACGAGAAATAAGGTAATGCAGTCTTATAGTTACGGATGGCCGATTTAAAATAAATAAATAAATAAAATAAATAATTTAAAGCTGATATTAATCAGAATTTAAAGCTGATATTGACCGATATATTATAACTTGAATAAAATAAAAAGATCCACATGAGAACTGAACATTTGTGTCAAATAGTATCT